GAAGAGCGCGCAGAGCGCAAGAACGATGGTAGCGAAGCGAGACATTATTGTGCAGAATGTCAGAAAGACGATGGATCGAAGGAATGACGTCCGAGGATGCGAAGGGACCGGCAGGTTCAGCTTCGAGGTCGATGGAACGGTGCGAGTGAACTCGTTAGGACACAAGATCGTTGCATGAGGTTTTATACCGAGACAAACGAGGGTACCCGACCGAGTGCGCCTCAAGTCTGAGGGCGACCCCTCGAAATGACCTCGCAGCCACGGACGCTCTAGACTCACCCGTCAAGGGCGTTGTATGTTCATACCTATTCTTCGGCCCAAGGGCTAGAGCCACGCCGACGTTAGCCCAACAGGGGCTCGGAGCGCCTCCAGCCAATCGGCTTGCACGGGGAAGCGGCCCGGGCGCATCCCCCCCCCGCCGCAGTCATTTATGGCAACTGCGAACGAAAGCGGCAGAAACGTTGTTTCCGGAGGTGAACATTTCACGATCATCAAACGGGCAGACTTTACCGTCGCTGGTTGAGTATTGAGTGAGAGCCGTGCGCTCCATAATTCGAGGCCGGCCGGAGTATCGTCGTCATGCATCCGAGCTGTCTTGAGATCTTGAGATCTTGAGTTCCATGTATTCATGGGCAGTAGAAGTGATGTTATGCCGGGGCGCCGCAGTGGATTTGGCTATACCCTAAATGAACAGAAATTTGCACGGCCTGGATGGGTTGCAGTGACGGTGGTACAGTGATGCGCACTCTTTCGGAATATACCTCCAATTCCGCGCATGACGTCAGGGACCTGAACAAAATCTCGGAAGGGCTCTCAGCGGGTCAATGCACATGACGTCCTGTTCAGAGTCGCAGAGTCGCACGACGACCAGCGCTGGAGAACATCCAGCAACCAGGTAATGGATCAACAGGCAACAGCTACATACGCGATAGTATGGCTTAACAACTAAAGGGAGTTGGCTACCCTGGTCAACCTGTCCCGTACGTACGGGCTGCACGATGGCGTTCTTCTTGATGATCCTCACCGGAAGAGCCAGCTCGAAGACGAACGCGCGCACGAGGACGAAGAGTAGGCTTTCATCCTGGACGGTTGATTAAGTTCAGACGCCGGCATTCAGTAGATCAGCGCACGAACTCACTCTGCGAGCGCGAAACGATATCCATGCATGCATGTGGACGCCAAAGAACGTCAACATATTCCCCAGACGCCGGGATACTTGGATTGCTTCCGGTGGCTTTCCCATCTCGGGCCTGGTCGAGTGCTAGGCTCATCACGACTGGCAGGGAAGTGGAGTTGGGAGCTCACTTAATCGGCGCGTCATCGCCCCAAAGCTGGACAGTTGATGCCCAGTATGGAGATCGTGTATCCGTACCTTCCGATCCTGTATCGCAGTGAGCTGTCAGCAGTGTCTCGAGCTCTTGAGCGGCAGAATCGACTGTACTCTATATATTCGTGGACCCGTCCATTCTGGTCGACAGGTTCCTGAGGGCAGTATTCGTCCTTCGTAGCCGTTCTTCCGGTAGCACGACGGGCGCATGCACACGGGGTCTCGCGCACGACCGCCTCGAGGTATGGAGAGTGTTAAGTTCGTCATGGTAGGCCTGTCGGTTTCACGTCAAGGGTTCGTCGCGGAGCTCTGTTGACATCTTGCGCCCGAGCGAGCGCCACAAGCACCATGCAGTACCAAAGCTCGTGGTCTCATGCCAGCGATGAATCTGGCAGGCGGACAGGAGTCCGTATCCTGTTTTCTCTGCTTTCACCTACGTTGGTACCTTGCGCGTATCGTCAGCGGACAGGTCAACCATAAGGGCGATGTACTCACGCGCCAGCACGTCATCGTCAGAGATCGCGATCCTCCGGGACGTCCGTCTCTGTTGGCCTTGATGAGCAACGTGAGGAGATCGCGGCTGCGCAAGGCGTCGCCAGAGGTTCGCCGGCCGACGCCGCTCGCGCACCTCCGTTTCTTCTGGATGAGCTCATCCCGACGCCTGCGCGACCGCCTGAGCGGCAGCTGTCTCGCGGCCGAAGCTGTCGGGCTGCAGCGATGAACGGCGCGAAAAGCGAAGTCGGGACCAGTCCGGACGAGGAGGAGCTCGATCGGGACCAGGAGGAGGAGGAGGAGGAGGAGGAGGAGGAGGAGGAGGAGGAACAAGTCTCGGCGAAGGCAAAGGGAGCGTGAGTGCCCCTGCCATTGTTCTGCATGACGTGGCTGACACACCGGTATCAGGCAAGCGGGACGCAAAGGCATCCTGAAGTTTGGACACGCCGGACGCTACAGTGGACGCGAAGAAGGCCAAGGCCATCAAGAAGGACCGGGCGACATTCGTGATGGACTACAATGCCGAGGGTGAGACCCGGAAGAGGGGGGACAGGGAACTGCGGGTGAGTCGCACTGATCATAACTTCGTGTGTTCTGACCACTCACCTCGTTGCCAGGACCCACCTTGCACTGCGTGCAAGGGATTCCCCTGCTACATCTCGGTCAGAAGGTGTCAGCATTCCGGAAGGACGGCAAGCCGAAGAAGAGAAAGGTCGCCGCGTGCGACTTCTGTCATGTGAAGAAGACCAAGTGCGAAGGCATCGATACCGAAGGCACGTTCAAGCCACAGAAGGCTGGCCGGGGGAGGTCGTCGGCGGGAAGTTCCCGCGCAAGCAGCGTTGCCTCCGAGCGCTCCGAGAGTGTTGCCGACGGGCCCCAACCACCAACGGCGATTCGGACACCGAAAGCGAGAACGGCTCGGTCGCGACAACTGGGTCCCGGCGGAGCACCAGACGCAGCAACACCCGTCGCGCCGCCCGACCCCGGTCACCAAGCAGCCTCCCAAACGGAAGGGGAGAGCGCCTCCGTCGAAAGGAAAGGGTAAGAAAGACCGTGGCGAGGGATCGTCAAAGGCGGAGACCGGCCCTGAGCCCCCACGCAAGCGGGCGAAGACTGCAACGGACCCGCCGCCCGATCCCAGTGACATCAGTACGTCGGCTTTCCCTCCGTTGACCATACGCACCACTAAGTTGTAGGGCGTATGTATCCAGTTGGCCCGGGTGGAGTTCGTGGTTCACTCGGCCCGCCTGTGGTGGTCATGCAACGCCCGGCGGAGCTCGCCGAGAACGCGGAGCTGCGTGTCCGCGAGCTCGAGGGTGACGTCCGACAACTCAATGAACGGGTGGCTGCGTTGGAGGCCATGAACACCTCCCTCCTGGAGCATCAACGATTGCTCGGTGAGTCGCTCGGCGCATTCTGGCTTCTCGAGCTGACATTTGACTCAGGTCTGGCATTTGTGGGTGAGGGTGACCAGGACGCCTACATCGAGGCCCTTCGAGATATGATACAGGCCGCGGGTAATGAGCCGCAGGGGCTGATGAACGATCAGGAAAGGGCATCCGCGTCAGGATCACCCCTACCGTTCCCCGAGACCGTGCAGCCGGCGCCGCAAATCGACATGGTTGTGGACGAGGGCATGCATGACCGGCCGGCGGGTGGCACGTCAAGCGCTCCTCGCGGCCCCGCTCCTGGCTTGCAACAGGCGTTGACCCCGGCCACGCCCTCAACGGTGAGCGTGTTCACCGGTTTCCCGATTGTTGGTCGGCAGACTAACATTCCTGTGTAACAGTCCCCGGCGGGAGATACTTCTGCGCCTCCCGTCCCTGGTCCGAAGGGACAGGCAGCCCCGGACCCACCACCACTTCCCCCTCGCCTTGCCTGGGACAGTCGTGAGTTCGGGACCGGCGCAGGCGGCATGGGTGCCTTCATCCCGAGGCCCATGTTCAGCCAGGTGCCTCAGCTGCTGGCCGCCGCCGCCAGCCCACCGCGAGTCCCGCCGGCCCCATCCGCGGCCTCGACCATCCCACCGTTGGAAAACATGTCGGGTGCAACGCACTCTCAGACTGTGGTGTCGCATCCCCAGCTGCCCACCCCGGCGATGCCCAACACCGACATTCCATCGGTATCCAAGCCCGACGCAGCCGGCCCGGTACAGCAGACAGTCGCGGCCGTGCAATCACCAACGGCGAGTGTGGCCTCCGCCGTCCCACCGGGATCCAGCGACATCACGAGTGCGCCGTGCCCACCGGCTGAAACACCCCCACCGCTGCCCCTCACTCCCCGGAGAGGTCGGGTACCGGCTCACCGCACGACTCCCCGCGTTCCGGAGATGCAGAACCGCCGGTGTTGGATGTGCCGAAGACGATCGGTGGAGGGAATGTCGTGGAATGAGGCATGCCTCGGGTGTGACGTCGTATAGCCCTCCTCGTTGTATTTGTAACATAGATCCCAGTGCTTGTACAATGTATCTCGTTGCCGCACAATTCGTTGACAGTTTGGGGGTGCCGGAATGTCCCAATCCTCGGACAGAATGCTTCACAAAACACTTCGCCCCACAGCTTCGCCGAAGCCACGGCCCAGGAACAGTAGCAGACTCTCGGCCCGAGCAACTCACGAACTCTCGGCCCGAGCAAGTCACCGAACTCTCGGCCCGAGTGTTTCACCAAAGTCTCCGAACTCTCGGCCGAGACTCACTGAACTCTCGCCGAGATCTCACCGAACTCTCTGCCCGAGTGTTTCACCAAAGTCTCGGCCCGAGAATCTCACCGAGCTCTCGGCCCGAGAATCTCACTGAACTCTCGGCCCGAGGGCTTCACCGAACTCTCGGCCCGAGGGCTTCACATACCTCTCGGCCCGAGACTTCGGTGAGAATCTCGGGGAGCGCACTCACACAGGGCTAGCAGGTCAAGACACCGGTGATGCATTATGGGAGGTGGGAATGATAAGGTGGTAGGCACTTTGTTGAAATTGAACGTATACAGTAGCACGATATCTATGCATATCTAACGCCGGCGAGTGGACGATCTGGTCGCCTTCGTGCTCCTTGCCGACCGCTTTCCCGGCGCCGGCGATGCAGACACGTTCGGCTTGACCCGTTTTGCCCGGGCACCGATGGCGGATGATTTCTGGGGCTCTCCATCCGCCTTCCGCTTTTTCTGCATGCGGTATGCCATGTCCGACCACAGGTCCGCGATCTCGGTGCAATGTTCCCCCAATTCCTCGACAAAGCGGTATGTCAGTTGGGATTTGTGCACGTACTGCGGGATTTCCGCCTCCTCGTCACTCCGGTGCTCGGTTTTCTTCTCGACGTCCTTCACAACCATTGCAATGGCCAACGTGACCATGAGGCCGTCTTCCCGGCCCATCTGAGTGTCGGTGAGGCTTGTGCGGATTCTGGTGAGCCAGGAGCGGAACTGCGTGAGGACAGCCTTGTCCGTATGGATATCCGGAGTGCACCTTGCGCGGCGGTACTTCCAACTCGCCCAATCCCACTTCGTCTTGGATTGCCATGCTCCGGTCTCCGGCTGGTCGCTGCTCGTCAACACCACGTAGCCCAGGCCTCAAAGGATGCACCCACCAGGTGGTGTAGATTGTCTACGAGCTTCGTAACGCCGTCGTCCACAGTTAGCTGCCTGATCCACTGCCGCCTTTCGTCCCAAGTCTTGCCGGCGACGGCCGGGCTATCTTCGTGTGGCTGTGGTCCAGGACGACCGGTGCGTACTGCCGGCACGTCGTTTGTCTTCTTCGGCTTGACTGAAAAATGAAAGTATGTTAGATGTGGCACATGCGAGACTGACCGTTATTTACCCGGCGTCGGCAGAATGACCACTTCGTTGTCGTCGTCGGCATCGGATTCGGCTGGAGCCTTCCTCTTCCTACTGGGCCCAGCTTCCGGTTTTGCGTCAGGCTGCGTGGCGCCCTTGTCGGTTGCTGGATCAGTGGTGGTACGATACCTTGGTTTGGGCTTGACGGGCTTCCGGCTGACAGAGGGCTCGGGGGCAGGCTCCGGCCGGTCGCTGGTGGGCTTGACACCAGGCTTTGCCGGCCGGGCCTTGCTCGGCGCCGGCTTTGAGGTGTGTTGCCCGCTTCGTCAACAACTTCGCTGCCCGCTGTAACTGCGGCAGGCCCCTTCAGCTTGCCAGATTTACCTGCTGCGCCCGAGCTGTCATTTCCGGATGCCCGCCGAGTGGGCTCGGGCTTCGAAGGCGCAGTACGTGGTGCGATACCCTTCCCTTTGTCCTTCCGGGGCGGCGGTGCCTCATCGCCATCCGTTGAGTCGGGGACCACTTCCTTCTTCTTCCCCTTCACTCTGGGTGTAGGGGACGGGGCCGGCGGCGCCTCGTCCTCGTCGGTGCTATCGTCGCCCTTAAACAGATAGCTGTAGCTCTCCTGCTCATCACTCTCGACCGCGGACTCCTCATCGGAGGTGACGTCGGCCTTCGATTTGCGGCGACGTGGGCGGGACGGTCCGGGCGTGGCCTGCCGGGCCTGTTGCCTCGGTCGCTTCACGGGAGGTCTACGCTTCTGAACATCCGGCACTACGATCTCCATCTTGGAGTTCTTCCAGGCCTTGAACCGAAACACTGGGCCCTGCGGGTGTTCGTCCTGCCTCTCCCGCCAATGCCTCAAGATCGCGTCCAGGTCCCCGGTGCGCATCTTGCTCGGGTCACTTAGAACGCTGCCGGCGGGGAGGTATTCCGGATCAATGAAGGAGTCCGATGACTCGGAGAGTGATTGCCAGGGCACCTTAGCCGGTAAACGTTCGGTGAATTGAACTGTGGGTGAAGTGTCAGGCACGCTGATTGTCGCAAAGTCGGTGTGACGCACCATACGTCTTGCGGACGAACGTCCCCAACAATACGCGCTTGAACTTCGTCTTCTTGAAGCAATCGTGATCCGCTGGAGGCAACAACGGGTACCCGTCTTCGTCCTCGTCCCAGTCCATGTCTTCAATCAGTGCTGCCGGGCCCCGGGCTTCTTCGACCCCGAATCCATTCGCATCTGGTGACGCTTCATTCAGCTGTCGGACACACTGCGGAATCTTCCCACATACCAAAGGCTTCCTCGACGTATGTCTTCCACAGATCATACATGATTCCCGTTTTCCACTCGGGCTGACTCCCGGTGAACTTCGGAACCCTCGGGGCGCCTTCCTCCAGAAACATCTCGTCGTTAAAGTCGAACCTGCCAATGCGTTCAGGACACCGAAGCAATGTATTACCAGTAATGCACATACTCCAACACACCGGTCTTCCCGTCAGCCATCGGTACCCCGCCGAGCAAAAACACCCTCATCCCGCATTTCCTCCACATGATCTTCATGAAATCGCGGATCATGTTGGCGCCGTGTTTTTCCAGCTGCTTGCGTTGAAGGTCGGCTGGCCACACCTGGGTATTCCAATCCTTTGCGACCTGCATGTAGTCGGCCTGGTCCTCCGGCGACAGATTGTCGCAGAGTTCCTTCAGGGCGGTTTGGTAGATGCCCGGAATGTCGTGCCGGGTCACTGGCTTCCCTTCCTTCTCCTCCTTCTCCTCCCCTCCCCCTCCTCATCGTCTTCCTCCTCATCCGACCCGTCCTTGCCCCTCTCCCGACCAATTCTTGTCATGATCTCCCCGAGCTCATCCTCCCGGTCCCGGGCGGCCACCGTCCTCCACGTTATATCCCTGCCGAGCTTGAACATCTCCTTCTTGACCTGTTCCTTCGACCCTCGGCGGTTCGAGTACCATTTGCCGACACGCTACCGGACATCATTCCTCACTGACCCATCAAACTGTTGGACTACGTACCTTTCGTAACACGGCATCGAACTTGTATTGCTTCCGGGCCTCGAGCCGTTGAATGCTGTTGTCAACAAGCTCTTGGCGGCCCTCGGGATCATCGGAAGCCTCCTGCCAGGCCTTCAGATTGCTTTCGAGAATGACGAGGTCTGGTGCCTCCCAGGGAACCTTTCCCATGGCGAGCGTGGCTGACGGAGTGAGGATGCAGGGTGAGCAGGCTGTAATGTGTCGACGAATGTAGTCGTAACAAGGGGTGGGTATATTCGGCGCTACGGAGACAGTGATCCCGAAGGCCTGTTCGTGACAATCAGTCGACTGTGACCTTGCACGGATGTACCCGACCGCAACAACTGTGTTGGGCTAAGCATTACATGATGCACAATTTGTTCTGTACATTTCACCCTTTAGCCGCATCCGGCCGCCCTGATGGGAAGAATTCCGGCCGGCTCGTCACAAAAGGACGGAAAGACAATTGGTTTTGTCAAAAAAGTGTGACTCCGTTGCCCTCGCTCTCGAGGATCCCGTGCAATCCAGATTCTACATCACTCGGGCACAGGTCGAGGACTCCGGTTACCCCGTTTCAACGAGGTCCATCACCGGCCGCACCGACTAGGCGATCGCTGAATCTCAATCTCAGGGGTCAATCTGATGTTTCGGCCCAAATGCAACCCATAATTTTCTTCTAGCACCTCGTCTGCCCGGATGAAACCCATTGCACCCGACACGTGACCCGGCAGGCCGGCCGGACCGGTGTGATCGATACCTTGCCGGCCGCATCATTGTATATGCAAATGGGGAGCAACCGCCGGGCCCATTACGCGGCCGCTTCTCATGAGAACCATGAATTTCATCGGAAATAGCTGTCTGATTTGGGCGGCAACGATCGGTTTGCGACTCAGATCGGTTTCTCTGGGCCCGGCCCCACTGTCTTCGGTGCACGTGCGGCCGGCCCGCTCCAAAGTGGGGGTAGGTGACTATGGCAGGGAAGACGCAAACTGTGTGTTGACCGACGGCGAGACCACGCTGCACGTATTCCTTGTTCAACTGGCGGTGGGGTGATTGCGCCCCTCAAACGATGGGTCGACTGCGGCCAATAGCAACCTCGCCCGGAGTGGTTGAGCTCACACTCAAGAAACGAACTACAGCAAGGGGTGTGCGGTCACGACTTGTCGAGATACAGAACAGCGGGTTACAGACTCCACCGGCTACACCCCGTCGAACAGCTCGGTCAGCGACGAGACAGTTAAGCTGGACACCACCAACCGATGATGTTGCCAACACAACATTCTGTGATTTCAGTTCAGTTCGTCAGACTGCCCCACAGGTGCACAGAATTCCCAAGTGTTGTTGTGGACCGAGCCTTACCCACACCATCAGACCCAACCTGCGATGCTGAGAGAATGGATCCCCCTCCAGCACAACTACCTCCGATCCCTGTACGCCCACTACACACCCCCGCCGCTCAACGCGGAGGGCAGCTACATGTGCGCCGGGTGCAACAATGGTGGCGGTGTGTGGAAGTGCATGTCCTGCATCGGATATCCGATCTTCTGCCCGACGTGCTGTCTCGCCGAGCACCGGCGAACACCATTCCACCGGGTTGAGCAGTGGAATGTTGGGGGATACTGGGAACCTGCATGGCTCCGTCAGGTTGGAGTATCAATCAACCTCGGGCACCGAGGAGGGGAGTGCTCCCAGCCGGCGGCTGTCTTGGACGATGACGAGGACGGAGAAGCCAATAGGCCGGCCAATGCTGCCGGCGACGACGAAGCCGAGATACCTGCAGACCCTCTGCATCACGCCGACTCGCCACCACGGCCTCCACCAGCCATGATGACTATTGTTGACACGTCCGGGGTGCACTTCCTCCCGGTGACGCCGTGCGGATGTCCCTGGGCCGGTGACCACACGTCGCAGTTGCTTGATGCCGGGCTGTATCCGGCGAGTCAGCGGAAGGCTCGCACGTGCTTCACCTTTGCGGTCTTAGACGCGTTTCTTCTGGACAATTTGGAGTGCAAGACTACGGCTATGAACTTCTACCAGCGGATACGCCGGGCGACAAACCCGGCTTTTCCTCATGAGGTACCCGTGAGTCAGTTGCCGGAACGCCTGCTTGCCCAGATGATCACCATTGCACAGGATCGATATCTCGAGTTGCTCCGGGTAAGCCGGGAATGGGCGTTGCTGCAGGCGAAGAAACAGTTCGGGTACGGGCCACAGTGGCGGGGGGCTCCGGGAAACGGTGACCTCGCTCACTTTTGCCCGGCGTGTCCGCAGCCCGGAGTGAACATACCCGCGGACTGGGAGGTGGATGATAGGAAGTAAGTAGTTACCCTGTTCACCGGTATACGCCAGCTGAACTGTTTTGGAGGTACCTATATGCCCGAGGATATGTCATGGATGGGAACTTCCACGCCGAGCAAATGAAAATGCGCAAGCCCGAGAACGACGTACCGTTGATGCCGGGGAAAATGTTCATGGTTCATCCCGGCCCATACGAGGAGCACCTGAAAGTAGCGAAGGACGTGAAGATGGTGAGGGTGGTTACATCGGCCATGAGAACGTCTGGCTAACACGCCCACAGCACTCAAGCTGCAACGACCACAAGGCGGTCTCCCAGGCCAACGCCGACCGGCATAAGCTGGCTGTCACCGGGATCGGCGCAACATCTTGTTTGAGGCACGGGTGCTTCCTTCCGCACTCGGTAGTGAACTATCAGAAGGGTGAACGTCAGATGAACATGGACTACTCCCTTTCCAACGCCCTGGGCTATCGGTCAAGGGGGATTGGGCACGTTTACCTCTCGTACGACATAATGTGCCAGTACCATGTCCATCTCGACGACCGGTTTGACCAGAATCCCCACCTGGAGATGCCCGGTGGCCTTGTGTTATACAAGTGCATCGGGCTCTTTCACATTCATGGTCATAAGGCCGAATGCGAACTCCGGCACTCTCTCACATTCACCGAGGGGCCGGGCAAGCTGACGGCGAGATCATCGAAACCCAATGGTCGGGGATCAATCCCGTGTCGGGTAGTACACGCACAATGTCAACATCCCATCGGCAAGAAACACTCGACCGGCACATGAACAACTGGAATTGGAAGAAAATGATCACTATGGGTAGGCCTCTCACTGATCTTCGGAGAGAACACCGGGCTGACAATTGATAGTGGCATCGCTGAGAAGGAAAATCAAAGCGAACCGCCCACTGCTGGCGGAGATGAAGGCCGACCTGACCGCGAAGGAGGCCAGTGTCGATGCCGAAGTTCTGGGAGCGTGGAGGAGGGAACTGAGGATAGTACAACGGAAAAGGCTTCGGGATGTCAAGGTAATGGATAGATACCAAGCCAAGAAACAAATCAGTGGGTCCACTGGCCACCCAGGCTGATTTAGGTTCTGATATGATCACAGTGCCATCCCGGCTCGAGCTTCAAATAAAGCTGGCGGAAGAGGAGGGAGAGGGCGAGGATCGCGTCGGGACAGCGGACTGGATCGCAGATGGCCTCAAGCTTGAGGAGCAACAGTAAGTGTTCCACACCCATTGTCCGGTGTGTTTCTGACGTAAGTCCAGACTCGGAATCCAGAAGGACGTGAAGAAAATGGGGGCCATCGTTACTCGGCCGCAGGAGCTGAAACTGGCGAAACGGAGGAAGACTCTTGAGATCCAAATCCGGCGTTTCCACAGGCGAGCGGCTGCCATTCACCGAAGGCATAACTGGGGCATCGCAGAGCAGGATGCAGTGGAAGACGATTCGGGGGATGAATGGGAGGAGGACCGCAACGACGACAGCCCATGGCGCCTCTTTTCAAGTCTACCACCAGCTCCGTACCCGTCAAAGGCGTCCGAGCATACCAAACTCGGCCTACCGTCCAATTTATCCCGGAATGCACTTGCTGCAAATGGGTTGCAACGATTGGCGGCACATGAGCTGACCCTGCGCCGTGGACAGGCAAATGATGCGTTGCAGCAGCTGAGGATTCTCATTGGCAAGAAATCATTCGAGTTCCAGACCACCATTCGGCACGGGAGGAGGGAAGGCCACACAAAGCGCACCCGATCCTTCACGAAGTTGGGGAAACTCGACCGAGCTGTGCAGCTTCAAGCTGCCATTTATCGCCGGGCCCGAGCCGCCATGCAAGTACTTGGCGTCTCGGGAGAAGAGCAGGCAAAGTACAAGCCACTTACAACGGATGATCTCAACACAGTGACTGCAATCGCCGAGCCTAATAAGCCGGGACAAAGGCATAAATCGTCCTCGTGGATATGGAATGTCGACGTCGGTGGCGACATGCGGAGCGATGACGAACTGGGAATCAGTAGGAAACATGCGCGTACAACATTGGAGTCTTTGCTGACATTGAGTACAGTTCACCGGGTACAGTGGTTCCACGCCCGGTCAAAGGTTGACAGATTGGAGGAGGAAGCTGCGATCTTGCGCCGGGAGCTTGACTCCGTGTGTCGATACTTTGCCAACGAAGCATCCCGGTGGCGGCAGCTGGCAACGAGAAACACGCAGGCCGAGTACCCCGGGTTCTCACAACACTGCCGGGCACAGGCTGCACTGTTTGATCGGCTGCATCAAGATGCGATGGTGGCATGGCGGGATTTGTACATTGAACCGAATGTTATGACATAGCTGTACCGACTGTCCATTGATACAGAAAATGTCTCTCCGGGAGAATACCATCATTCCGACGTCATAGCTCCCAGGGTCCGAGCAATAGGCCCAAGCCATACATCGCGCACAGCTCCTCCGTGAACCCAACTCCGAGCCCGAGTGCATCCCCGAACTCTCGGCCCGAGCACTGTCCCGAACTCTCGGCCCGAGCACTGTCCCGAACTCTCGGCCCGAGCACTGTCCCGAACTCTCGGCCCGAGCACTGTCCCGAACTCTCGGCCCGAGCACTGTCCCAACCTCGGCCCGAGCACTGTCCCAACTCTCGGCCCGAGCACTTTGGAAAACCTCGGCCCGTGCACTTTCTGAACCTCTTGGCCCGGCCTCGGTGCAGGGAGTGTCCGTGAGAATGCAGCACACCTCTATACATAACATTGGCATCCCAATAACCTGTCGGTCGTTGGATCTTAGAGGGACTGGCAGTGCGTTTAGAGGGACACACCGAATGCGTGATAAATGTGACCGGGCAAGGATTGTTATATTCCATGCCAGGTCTCGGGTAATTAGTGAAGGGCCTTTGGCATTCAAAACTCTAATGCAAAGCACGATAGCAGGAGAAAAGCGCCACTACAGTTATGACGAGGTGGTCAACCCTCTAACATTCCATCCCGTGCCTCAACAACATCAAAAAGCAACATGATTCTTTCCAGGCGATCATCGGTGTCGGGCACACGCATGGATACTTGGCTTCTTTCGTATGTGACCGACAAAATAACCTGCCCGAACAGATATCGGGTGATTGAATATGTATTCGGCCGCCCGGCGACAATCTCGGCATGCCTAAGTAATAATGTTACCAGGGCGCTCTCCAATGAACCGTGGGAAGCACTCACGGGGTGGACAATGCAAATGCAAGGAGCTCCCATCTGAAAAACGGAAATGTTTCCGGAATGTATGACTGCCCATCTCGGTTAATGCACGAGATGGGATTGGTGGGAGCGACGGGAACACACCATATCCATATTGGAAGAGAAAACAAGTGTGAGCTGAATGTAGAAGGACGGTGTGATGGGGGTGATTAAGCACAAATACTGTCACACCACCTGAATTGCGAGAAGTCATGTCTCGGCAATGTGACACACGTGCCGAGCATCCCATACCAAAGAAGGCAACCCTCCCAGAGTCGAATCACGTGCTCTAGATTGGAGATCAGTTACCGATAAGACCTCCATCGCACTGTGTCCACATCAACTACCATTGCGATTACACAGCCCCCGCACTCTTCACCGAGAACCTCATAGTCAACATGAATGCAATCCTCACCAAAGTGTTGGAAGACATCAAAACCAATCTCATGATTCCCAAGACTCTCCAAACACTTGCCGAAGCGAAAGGGAATCCCGCCGCGCCCGGGGCACTTGACAACTTCGTTGTCGGCCTGGTGAGTGTGCCAGGTACTGCTTACGTAGACTCACAGCAAACGAACAACTTAGTCGGTTTCTGCCCTCATGATTGGCCTTCAGGAGCTCCTGAAGGCCGACGTCGCCGAAGCCTACGGTCTCACCGACGCCATGTCCGCCTACTGTGAGATTGTGGCCCCCCGGGTGCCGAAGAGGTGGACATTGTTACGAATGTAATCAAGGGAACCACAATGGTTGGCGATGGTCAAAATTCAACGCCGGAATATCTCCCGAGAATGCCAGTCTCGGGCGGAGAGCACATAGGTAATGTTCGGGCCGATGCGCGCATCCCCGGTGATACTAAATCCGTGGCATGGGAAGGCGCGGTAAATCAAACCGTGAACGACCTACCCGCTGGAATTACTACCCCGGAAGCAATGCTGGAGGAATTGAGAGCAAACCAGGCTTGTATGGACGACATCATCAAAGACCAGCTCCAAGCATCCAAGGATCAGCTTCGGCGTGTCTCGCAGCATCTCGAGTTGGAGAAATTGCGGGTACGTCGAACGGATGACCTATCACCCTGCTAAACGGTCATGCTAATGCATGTCTTAGGACAAAGTCACTGTTCGCGCCGAGCAAATTAATCGCGTACACCTGCCCAGATTTCCGCTCCCGGCGAAACTCTGCCCGGATGAAATGCCGGCCAGTATGCCAAACAACATGATGAAATGGTTGCAGCAATTGGGGAAGGCGATGAAAACCATGGACATTTACATACAGGCAGAGCTGAACTTTTGGCATGCTGCCGCCCGGGCCAATGCGGCCGAGCTGGAAGCCTGGCAGCGCGGGGAGACTCCAACGGCCCCGGCAGCAGTGTCGTACTTCCGGGTGATTGATTCCGCATTCAAGTAATGTTCACCGTGGTATTGTATCAGACTCCAAAGTAGTGCACAATGAGATGTCGATGTTACTGAGATGTGCCTGTGTTTCCCCGGTCAAACCTACGTAATGTCCCGGTGTGCGTTATGCGCATCAGAGCATATTGTGATCAACAAAGAACATGGATTGTTATGGACCCGAAACGTACAGCTACGGAGTGCCAAATGTATAGCCATTTCCCTTCGCTAACCACTCTCCCCGCCTCCCGGTCCTCCTCATTCTCCAGTGCTGCGCCAACCGGCAGAAGGCACATTTGCCCAGCGATGTACATTCCGTCGCATAAAATACGCTACACACAACCGCTCCGCAGATGAAAGCGGAACCTCATGGGGGAGGCGAGTGCCCGAAAACGCTGTCACTGTACCACTGTGATAGGGAAGCCTGAGATGCAATGTCGGGAACCGGATGACCTGCTCGTGATCGCCCCCGATGGTCATCAAAATGTCATAGACATTCAGAGGAGTCATCTTGTCGCGATGAACCGGGCTTGCGCGGTTTGTCACCACCGAGAGCGCATTGAATGGGTTTTGCCACGTATCCACAACGCTGGCCCGGTCTGGATCGCTTCGCAAGGCTTCAACCGAGGCAATACCGGCGTCATATAAATCCGGGTGCATAATGTGCAGCACACCGGAGATGATGATATGCGGATAGATCATCTCGGCCAACCACGCCCGGCCGGCGACGGCAGTGTTCGGATCGGCGAGCAGTCGAGAGACACTTGGCACATCGTCCGCGCCCTGCTCGTTGTGAGAGAAATAATGTCGAAAACGTATTGGAATACGTACGTCGTGTCCGAGCTGGAACCATCCCGGTGAAAACGACACACATGCCGGGACGAGCTCGTCCCCCTCCTGCGGCTGCCGGAAGTTCGCGATATTTTCCCTCCAGCCCGCGCTAGCCTTCGGGCGGTTCCGGGCCAAGAGTGGGTTGAGGTCCATCGTCGCATCCCATATTACACCCTTGTATTTATGTATTGTTTTAGAGACAGTCGGCAAAAGCCCTCTGGATTCCGGCGTACCTCAAAGGGCTCTATGATCACGCCGGGAAGATGCCACAACAGCATCCGGCCCTTACTGTCTTCGATGGTGAGCGGGTCTGAGCAATCATCGTATTGCACCGTGGCCAATTCATCGTCGTCCGGGACGGCACATGGATGAGTTGTTGCATCCCACGGCAAAGTAACTGCTCATGAATGAGTAAATGACCATGGAAGCTGACAACTTATGGGCACGTACGTCGATTATTGAACGCCTTTGCAAGCATCTCAGCTGCACGCCGGGCCTGGCGGACGAGATACACATCGAGGAGTAGTCCGGGGAGTGGAGCACGCGGGGCGCGCGATTCCGGTGCCGAGAGGAAGCGAAGATACATTGCGTCCAAATACGACAAGTACTGGACGCGCACCTGCTCCGGTGTGATCATCGTATGAACAAGGCAGAGGCAGGGGAATGAGCAGTGTCGCAAGGGTTCAAGGCAACGCAGAGATATATCAGACAGACATCCCCGCACCAAACCGGCCTCGTGGGTACCTTCCGTTCGCCATGAGGCTACCTCATGCCCTGGATAAGATCACGAGTCGATGCCTCCACCCGAAGCATAGATCCATAGTGATCCATATTGATGTGAAATCACAATATGATGTCCCATCACCGAAATTAGCGTAGCCCCTTGGACAATGTATCACCCGAGTGGCCGATGTAATCTCGGGGCGCCGGTTTTGCTGACAGGCAAGGCCGGGCGCAGCATTGAGCAGTGAGGGGTGGGCTGGGACGCGCTCCGGCCGGAGCGTTGACACGCTCGGTAAAGGGGCCGGGTGGAGCGTTGAGGAGTGAGGGGTGGGCTGGGACATGCTCCGGCCGGAGCGTTGGAACCCTCGGTGAAATACGCCGGGTGGAGCGTTGAGCAGTGAGGGGTGGGCTGGGACGCGCTCCGGCCGGAGCGTTGACACGCTCGGTAAAGGTGGCCGGGTGGAGCGTTGAGGAGTGAGGGGTGGGCTGGGACGCGCTCCGGCCGGAGCGTTGACACGCTCGGTAAAGGCCGGGTGGAGCGTTGAGGAGTGAGGGGTGGGCTGGGACGCGCTCCGGCCGGAGCGTTGACACGCTCGGTAAAGGGGCCGGGTGGAGCGTTGAGGAGTGAGGGGTGGGCTGGGACATGCTCCGGCCGGAGCGTTGGAACCCTCGGTGAAATACGCCGGCGGAGCGTTGAGCAGTGAGGGGTGGGCTGGGACATGCTCCGGCCGGAGCGTTGGAACCCTCGGTGAAATACGCCGGGTGGAGCGTTGAGCAGTGAGGGGTGGGCTGGGACATGCTCCGGCCGGAGCGTTGAACCCTCGGTGAAATACGCCGGGCGGAGCGTTGAGCAGTGAGGGGTGGGCTGGGACATGCTCCGGCCGGAGCGTTGGAACCCTCGGTGAAATACGCCGGGCGGAGCGTTGAGCAGTGAGGGGTGGGCTGGGACATGCTCCGGCCGGAGCGTTGGAACCCTCGGTGAAATACGCCGGGTGGAGCGTTGAGCAGTGAGGGGTGGGCTGGGACATGCTCCGGCCGGAGCGTTGGAACCCTCGGTGAAATACGCCGGGTGGAGCGTTGAGCAGTGAGGGGTGGGCTGGGACCGCTCCGGCCGGAGCGTTGACACGCTCGGTAAAGGTGGCCGGGTGGAGCGTTGAGGAGTGAGGGGTGGGCTGGGACACGCTCCGGCCGGAGCGTTGGAACCCTCGGTGAAATACGCCAGGCGGAGCGTTGAGCAGTGAGGGGTGGGCTGGGACGCGCTCCGGCCGGAGTGTTGACACGCTCGGTAAAGGTGGCCGGGTGGAGCGTTGAGCAGTGAGGGGTGGGCTGGGACACGCTCCGGCCGGAGCGTTGGAACCCTCGGTGAAATACGCCGGGTGGAGCGTTGAGCAGTGAGGGGTGGGCTGGGACATGCTCCGGCCGGAGCGTTGGAACCCTCGGTGAAATACGCCGGGCGGAGCGTTGAGCAGTGAGGGGTGGGCTGGGACATGCTCCGGCCGGAGCGTTGGAACCCTCGGTGAAATACGCCGGGCGGAGCGTTGAGCAGTGAGGGGTGGGCTGGGACATGCTCCGGCCGGAGCGTTGGAACCCTCGGTGAAATACGCCGGGCGGAGCGTTGAGCAGTGAGGGGTGGGCTGGGACATGCTCCGGCCGGAGCGTTGGAACCCTCGGTGAAATACGCCGGGTGGAGCGTTGAGCAGTGAGGGGTGGGCTGGGACGCGCTCCGGCCGGAGTGTTGACACGCTCGGTAAAGGTGGCCGGGTGGAGCGTTGAGGAGTGAGGGGTGGGCTGGGACACGCTCCGGCCGGAGCGTTGGAACCCTCGGTGAAATACGCCAGGCGGAGCGTTGAGCAGTGAGGGGTGGGCTGGGACGCGCTCCGGCCGGAGTGTTGACACGCTCGGTAAAGGTGGCCGGGTGGAGCGTTGAGGAGTGAGGGGTGGGCTGGGACACGCTCCGGCCGGAGCGTTGGAACCCTCGGTGAAATACGCCGGGTGGAGCGTTGAGCAGTGAGGGGTGGGCTGGGACACGCTCCGGCCGGAGCGTTGACACGCTCGGTAAAGGTGGCCGGGTGGAGCGTTGAGGAGTGAGGGGTGGGCTGGGACACGCTCCGGCCGGAGCGTTGGAACCCTCGGTGAAATACGCCAGGCGGAGCGTTGAGCAGTGAGGGGTGGGCTGGGACGCGCTCCGGCCGGAGTGTTGACACGCTCGGTAAAGGTGGCCGGGTGGAGCGTTGAGGAGTGAGGGGTGGGCTGGGACACGCTCCGGCCGGAGCGTTGGAACCCTCGGTGAAATACGCCAGGCGGAGCGTTGAGCAGTGAGGGGTGGGCTGGGACGCGCTCCGGCCGGAGTGTTGACACGCTCGGTAAAGGTGGCCGGGTGGAGCGTTGAGCAGTGAGGGGTGGGCTGGGACACGCTCCGGCCGGAGCGTTGACACGCTCGGTAAAGGGGGCCGGGTGGAGCGTTGAGGAGTGAGGGGTGGGCTGGGACACGCTCCGGCCGGAGCGTTGGAACGCTCGGGGAATAGAGGCCAGGTGAAGCGTTCAGGATGGGATTTGAGGAGGGGAGGGCCGGCCGCAACGTTGGCGACGAGGCCGAACCGGCCGGCATGCTCTCCGGCCGGTCCACTGGCAACGATCACGTCTGCAACGTGGACCCGGACCCCTCCGGCCGGCGCCGGCCGCCACGTTCGAGACGGGCGAATCTCACTCCGGCTTTAACGTTCCGAACGTTAAATCTTACTCAGTAGGCTCTGACTCCGCCGTTGGTACCCGGGTCGGCCGATGATCAGACTTTCCAGGCGGGTGCGGATGGGCCGACGTATGAAACTGAACAAGCACCTCCGGGGCGGCCGGCCAACACGGATTGCTAGCTCCTTACATTGCCTGCTGACGCTCCCCAGTCGGCCGACGATGAGATTTCTATCTGCAGCCTCAGCGGCCGACGGTCAGAAATTCCATGACCTGCCGGGCGGCCGACTGTGGGACAGACGGTTCTATACCCAGTCGGCCGACCTCTGAACAGCCCACTCTTCTCCCGGCGGCCGCGCATTGGATAGACAATGGCAGTCTGATCGGCCGCCCTGCTGAGGAACCGTAATCATTCTCAAGCCGACCAGTGTCGCCCGGTCGGCCGATATCTTCCCCTGATCAATCATGCCCTCACAATACATCCGGATGGTGGCACGTCGCCCGGATATTTCTCGAGCCACAAGTGACTCCCCGTTATGTCCCGGTCGGCCGAGTGTTCATCCGATGGCTTTCATTGTGCAACAGCCGACACACACAAGGCGATGCCGCTCTCCTTACTTTGTTGGCTAGGCCGGCCAACCAGACCAATTTACATGTCGGCCGGGCATGAGGTATGTTGGATGCTGTCTGTTCGGCCGGGTGTGAGATTCTGGATGCGTACCGAGTGGGCTGACATTCGAGCTGGTCCGAAACTACATCCCTCTCCCTGTGGCTAGGACGTTCAGTGGTTTCTCAGACCACCGGAAGTTAAGGGGCAGGCCACGAGGATTACTTTCCGACCGGCTGACATGATGGGCTGCAGCCGTACGGAGTTGATCTCCACTGTTTCAAGTATCACTAGCGAGCCGGTTGTAATTGCAAAGTGGCCTGATGACTGATCGGCGCACCCCGGACCACTCCATTGTAAATAGTGTGTGCCAATGTTTGATGTGCAATGATGGAACTCTGGGGGCCGACCGCATCCCCGTTAGTATGTACCCGGCCGCTATCCTACCCTACCATGCACATCCGCTCCGGCCGAGAGCAGGATATAATCACCGTCTTCATTGCTATTGCGACGATCGTAGTCCAATTATTGCATGCTAACAGGCGGCCGCCGTTATGTAGCTAAGAGTATGTAGTAACCCCCGGAGGAACGGAGATGTATTAATTCTGTCTACGTTGACATGAACGGGTCTCCTAGTCCCACCCCGGATGGTCGTACGTCCGAATTTAGGCTGCAAGCAATGTATTATACACAACGGTTATCCAAGTTCCACTACTCTCTATCCGCGCCGCAGCGCTCCCTCAGCCTTTGCAGCATTTCCGCGCCTTGCCTGTTTGCCTTCTTCATTTCTCGCAGTGCCTCCAATCGAGCCTTCACAACATTGCTCTCCTGCATCTGCCTTCGCAGCATCGTCGGAAGGGGGCCTTCGTACGTGGGACCCCGTACGATTCCGTGGGCAACTGCGGCACATATGAGAGAGAACGGAATGCTCCACATGGAATCGTCCTACCTTGAAATTCCTCCTCCGATGGTGATACTGCGGTGCGCCAAGGCCCAGGCCTCCCGCTAGGGGACTGCGATCGCCCGGCTTCAGAGGAAGTCCCGCGGAATGGAGAACTGCTACCTGGAAAGTTAAACAACGTTATTAGAAAGCTGCAACATCAGCGGCTCAACAACCGCGCCCCGCCACCGGACGCCCGCCACCGGACGCCCGCCACCGGACGCCCCGCGAACGGCGGCCCGCAGCAGAATAGCGGTACAAATCACTCACCTACACGAGCGTCGAAGCCTGACGGGCCAGCGACATGGTCAGACGCAGGGGAGTCGCGGGCCGGGCTACTGCTCAATGCATGTACACCCGAGCGCTCTTCCACGAGGGGGATAGCCTGCCGTGTCCAAGTGGTCATCAGTTTGAATGTACCCACACAAGGAGTCCAGGCAATATGGAGGGCTTACCCTCGATAACGTAGCTTCAAACCGCGGTTCTTGTCCATCCGGGATGCTACCCAGCAAGACCCGTTCAATTCGGATCCCGGCAGGCATCCTAGCTTCATCCCTTGGGCCAGTTGCCCCAAGCCCAAATATATTTCCGAATCGGGCAGGAACCCGCGGTGGCCCACGACCGGCGTTCATCGTTGAGGGTCCCAAGGAAGGGGAGAACTGCGGAAGCCTGGAGGAATGTCCGGCGTGCGGAGCGGCGACCGGCGTAGCTGTTCTCGCCGGCCTGGGCGGGATGACTAATGGTTGCTCGATTCCTCCCAGCTCCGTTTCCTCGTCACCTGATGATAAATCCAACGGCGTTGCAGCACGAGCAGGGGAGAACTGCGGATGCGCAAAGGCATGACCAGCTTGTGAAGCCGCGACCAGTGTAGCCTGCGGAGTCGCGACCGGCGTAGCCACTCTTGCCGGCCTGGGTGGGATGAGTAACGGTTGCACGTCCGCCCCCGATTCGGATTCATCGCCGCTTGACAAGTCGATCGTCGTAGAGAGGCGGGAGCCGGTACGACTCGTCTTTGACCCGGGTGTTGACGAACCCAAGCGGGCTGGCCTGCTGGGGATGACAAATCGGCCCACGGCTCCTCCTACATCCGACTCGCCCTCCGAGTCGCCATCGGACAACTCCAGTGTTCCGGCCCGCCCGCTCGATACCGAGGTGGCAACGGTGCTTGCAGATCTCGCCGGCATAGCCAGGGGCTTGTCTACATCCGACTCGCCCTCCGAGTCGCCATCGGACAACTCCAGTGTTCCGGCCCGCCCGCTCGATACCGAGGTGGCAACGGTGCTTGCAGATCTCGCCGGCATAGCCAGGGGCTTGTCTAACATTTCAACATCGGAATCAGTGTCCGACAATCCCAGAGCATCCGTCACTCTACTGGCAACGCCAGTAATTCCGGGCCTGGTCAGGCCAATTGACGGTCTTACCGGCGCATTGCTTTCCGGGTCTGAGTCAGGGCAAAAAACTACGGGAGCGCCCGGTGGCCGTCGCCGCGGGAGCGGGACGGGCATGACGAACCGACGGCGGGGTGGTGACGCCTGTTTGGTTTCCCCTTCGGAGACGACAATGGCATCAGCACCGGCACCATTATCTACATCGCCTGATGACGGGCCACCGTCCGGAGTTGTGTCCTGCACCCTTATCAATTCTATTGCTAGTTTCACGGTGACCGTACTCACCATGGCATCCGCTTCGGTCGGGGGAAGTGTACCGGGTCTTGGAGGTATGACCAGTGGTACTGGAATAGTGAACCCGAGTCAATATGACACCCGGCTTAGCCATTGGAATCCGACGCACCTTGGTCGTCCTCGACTTCACTGGCATCCTGAGCGACCGCACTGATTGAGCGACCTGTCCGTGTGGAACAAAACTCATCTACGCACCGACGTGGAATCAAGTAATTCATGAAGCTCTTGTGGCCAGTTTTCACTACGATCGCGATTCTCCGAGGTGTCACCGGCTGGCGTGGGCATACCCGGTGATCCTAAGCATCGAGCTGTTAATAGCACTTACGATACCAGTTAACACGAGCACTTACCGTCTTTCCGCTTCATAAGCGCAACTCTTGATTTTGACATGGGCGTAGGTAGCAAGAGGTTGGTTCAGATCGCATCAGTGAGATCGATCGGATGGCCCGCGGCGCGGCTCAGCCACACGGACCACGTGTTTGTGGCTGCGTTCCCACAGTGCGTTGCTGGCGCGCACTCCTCTCTCCTACACTCCATCACCAACTTCTGCCTGCTCCCGCTCTGCAATCCGCTGCTTCGCTCATCCCTCAGCTTTCATTTTCCAATGGCATCGACGAACAATCCCGGTCCGGACGAAGACGGCCCGAAGGTAGTGACCGCGGAGCAAGTCACGAGACTGTTCGCCCAGTGCGAGGAGAAACTAGACGGGTTCGTCAAGGCGGAGAAGATGCCCGAGGCCCAGGACTCCAAAACAATGCAGAAGATTGTAAGTGTCTGGATTTAGATGCTCCGGACATACTTAACATGGGGATACGGACCAGTGGAACAAGGTCAAAAAATGGGGGGTGCGTACATCCGTTGTATCCGACCGTGCGGCATGAACTAAAAGGTTTGCCAGAACGATGCCGCCAGGGCTGTGGCATCCGCGGCCGCAAACGAGTGGCCGGTGTATGTGCCGCCATTGGTGATCTCAGTCATGGAAGAACTCGCGGCTCAACCGCCGTACCCTGACCATCATGGGCGCGTCGCCCGTATCTCGAGGGACGACCCGAGGATCCTCAAGAATCCGTGGTATACCCCTCGTGGCCCTCCCATTTCCGCGTCGGGCAAGCCATCACATGTTGTGGCCTCACCGCAGCCCCTCCCCTCGAATTCCCGCCCGCAACCTGCGGTCGCATTTGATCTGCCACAGGGCCATGAGGACGACATGGCCGTCGATGATTTCGGCGAGCCGGAAGTCAGCCCCCCACCCCCGGTCCGCCCCCAAGTGAAGACCGCCCGGCCGGTGGCGAGGCCGTCCACACCGCACGCGAAGAAGTCCCACAAGCAGCAGTCCGATGACGGGGAGTCAATGAAAGAGCGGCCCAAGCCCGGGCCGAAGAAATTGAGCAGCGGCGCGTCTGCTAAAGCAAAGGGAAAACAACGGGCGCGGACCGTCGACTTTGACGAGGGCTCGGATGCGGAGGGAGAGGCGGTCCCGCGGACGAAGAAGACGACCCCCCACAGCAATGCGAAAGGCAAGAAGCGAGCGGAGAGCGTCCTTTCTGTGGACGACGACGACGAAACGGAGCCCGCGGTGCCCAAGAAGAAGGCCTCGAGCAGCAATGCTCACGGAAAGGGGCGAGCGCAAAGCGTCACATCTGTCGACGATGATGACGAGACGACTGATGGTAAGCACTATTTCCGTGGTGTGTAACAGTGTCCCTGACATCGCTCGCAGTCCCTGAGGAACCGGGCCGCATCCTCAAGGCAGCGGATTCGGAAGGCCAGGCCACCTTCAACCCGGACATCACACCCGGTGAGGAGTTGGAGGAACGCATTCGAAGAGCGATCAAAACGAGAGATTGCCAGTATCTCGCCAAGGTCGTTGCAGCCGAGCGTGCCCGGGAAAATATGCCGTATTTCGACTGGGAGCACAAGGATATAATAAACAGACGTCGGCAGAGATGGCTGAGAGTCCGGGTAAGTTATGCAGGTGGATTGGGTTGCGCACCGCTGATTGCTTTTGCAGCCCACGAAATGCATCAAATGCCGGGCCATGCATTGCTGGATCTCAAGCGACCCCGAGCGCCCGGGGAGGAGCTGCGACGAGTGCTTCCGGGGGCACAATTCCTGTGTCGACTACGACACATCGGGAACGCATGAAGTCAAGCGCGGGCGGTCCCGCACCCGCTCACGCACGCCCACCGGCCGGAAAGCTAACCCTCGGAAGCGTTCACGGTCTCGGTCGGTGGCGTCGGAGGCGTCGGAGGCGTCGGAGGCGACAGGTCCTCCAGATTCGGAGTTTGACGGGGGGGCGGAGTCTGATGCAGCATCGGTTGCGACCACATCCTCCCGGCGAAGCACGCGCACAGCTCGCCGTCCCACGAAACGGCCGCGGATCGTGTCCGAACCAGCGAAAACCAAGCGCGCTCGAAGCCGATCCGCCTCCAATCCAGTGGAGTTGCCCGCAGAGTTAGAGGAGGAACCTGGCACTCCAAGGCCTGGTTCCCCGAGCGGGGTCGCCGGACCTTCCAATGGTGGGGGGCAATTGACCGGCCGCGCGTCGTCCCAGCCTACGTCGGAGAGCCCCCAAGTCGTGAGTTATCTGACACTGACATCATGTGTTCCCGCTCATATCTTCCAGGACTTGCTGCGCTGCCTTCAGTTGCGGGGCAGGGGATCGTCATGCTCCAGTCAGCAAGCGCCGTATCTCAGGAGCTACACAAGTTGCGACAGGAGAATGCGGAGCTCCGGGAGATGTACCAACAGCTCCGGACGGAATTCAACGATTTCCGTGAGCTCATCCTTGGCCCTGGTGAGTCATATCGGCTCGGCTTGTCATAGCGACACTGACCATTGCTTTCCAGACTGTCTACTCCCCGCCCATGAAGCGGATACGGGATCAGTGCCGCCCGAGGCTTCCGGTTCCGGTACCCGTCATGATCCCGAGGTCCCCATGCAAGATGTCGACAATGACGTCGACAGAAATGAAGACCGGGCTCCGTCCCCCGCTATCAAAAACGACGTCGACATGAATCACGACCGTGCTCCGTCCGCTGCAATCGACAACGACGTCGAAATGGATCACGACCGGGCTCCCTCCGCCTCTATCACACTTCCCGAGGGAACCGAGGACGTAGCGGCCGGGATGGAGATGGATTGGTCGGCGGAGAACGAGACTGGACAGGCCGACGAGAGAAGCCCATCCCGAGGTGTGAGTCCGGTCCACGACACTCCCCCTCCTCCCCAGGCTGTCCCAGCAAGCCCCACGCAGTCCATCTCGTCTGCAATACCACCCGTCATCGTGGGCGAGGACTCACATGACTCCCCGGGCGGACTTGCGTCCCAGCAGCTCGATCCTGTGGTGAACGAGCGCCCCCCGGAGCCGGCGTATGCTCCCCCGCCCCTTCCTCCCTGTGACGCAATGTCGCAGGCGGTAGTGAGCCCCCGCCCCCGAACTCCAGGATACCGTGCCGGATTCTCAGCCACCTGTCGCCCCGTCACAGGATGTCCTTCCCGGTACTACCCCGGCCGAGCAGCAGTCGCCAAAAGACGCCCAGGAGAATGTCGTGGACACCCGAGCTAACGAGCCGGATGACGAGCCGGGTATTGGGCCACAGGGCAGGTCCGCAGAGCCGGTGAGCAGCACGGTGCTCAATGCACCTTTACATGCTCACAGCGTCGTGTAGACAGGCCAAAGCCAAGATGGGGAACACCCGGAATCGCCCAGTGTTACACCGAACGCGGCCGGACTCCAAGGGGACTCGGACATGACAGCGCAGCGGACCGAGCCAGCGGATGAGGGTGATATTGCGATGACATCCGGGGAGAACGACCCCGGAGCCAGCAATGATCACGGCGGGGTTGCAACTCCACCGATGGTCCCCTCATGGACGACGTTACAGGGGTATGCGGACGAGTAGTACATTGGTAGTGTAACACATAATGTACAATTAGATGCTATATATATTGGTGGACAGTCCTGATCCTGGAACGAAACACCTCAGGAACATGAAATCGAACTTGGACAGTGTATCGTCCCTCGCAAGCTTGCCCCGCCACGCCCGCCGGACGCCCGCCGCCGGACGCCCGCCACCGGACGCCCGCCACCGGACGCCTGCATTCCAGGCGTCGACATCACATTCCAGTGTGACCAGCCGACCGAGGCAGAGGTTGCCGCCGGAGTTGCCGGCGCTTGGCTTCCTGGTGGCATTAAGTATGGATATGGTGATATGGCCTAATTTCGACCAATAGGATCTCGTGTGGCGCCCTCCGCCACACTTGGCCACGTGATCGTGGTTCTATTGCCACGCACACTTGATCAAACGCCCGTGGTTACCTTCCTACCTTTGTTGATCTCCCCGACACGATCCGCTCATATCACATCCGTTCATGTCTTCTCCTTCCACTTCGTCATCACACCACGCTGGGCCGGCGGCAGCTGCTGACCCTCTTCATGGGTACAACAATCCCTTGGACGCCAACTTGCTCCTCGCCGCATACGGCCGGAACATCGAAACCCGTTTGAAGCAGTCCGAAAACCCCCGTCTTCAAAATCGGAAAACGATTGCGCGGTTTGTGAGTGACGCAATTCATGGTGGAGCAGGCACTAATACTACGTTTCCCAATGACAGTGGGATGGCATAGTAAACTCAGTGGTCAGTCGTAGCTCACATTCGCACTGGTTTCCACACCTTAAATGCACTGTAGTTCAAAATAGGCTCGATATTGGATCGCGGCAGCGAGGGAGTGGGTGGTGTACGTACCCCCGCTCGCCATTTCCGCGATGGAGGAAGTGGCCGGTAACATGAGCGGGGACTATCCCACCCGCATGGCTCGCATCAAATCGGATGACCCAAGGGTCTTCACGAATGCCTGGTATACTGCAAGCCCCCCGCCCGGTGTCGCCCCGCTGCCCGGTCTCACCGGGATGGCGACCTCCTCTGCACCCCGGAACCTCCATGTCCCGAACTCGCCCGAAAAGGAATCACCGGCTGGTGCATCGCAGCCTACGACGTCCCACACAGCGCATGCAGTGCGGTTTGCGCTCCCACACGCCCGCCCTCGTCCCGCGGACCGTAATGACCCGGAGGAGGCGGACGTTACTCCAGGCACTGCGGTGCGGCCCGGACAGGTGAAGCGGTCGACAACGGGATGGGATTACCTGGAGATATCGGATGACAAGGCGGAGCATGATGTCGGGGTTGGGATGGTCGCTGGACCGGTAACGTTTACAGGACAGTGTCACGGCAACAACAATGACACCAGCGACGAGGAAGACGAGTTGCAGGAGCCCGGAATCCCGACGGACCGGAGAATAGCGGCCGGGAGAGCTAAGGGCAAGCGTCCGGCGAGCGACATCGACTTCAGTGACGAAGAAGACCAGTTGCTGGAGTCCGAGATACCGACCAAGACAATCAACCAGCGCGGGCAGGCCAAAAAGAAACAACGGGCAGATAGTGCAACAGTGAAGGTGCAGCAAGTCAAGCGAGATGCTCGTGAGTGACTCAGGAAGGTATTGATTTGTGCCCCCGCTCAACATGTTATTAGCGGTTCTCCTTCGTCCTGCACTGAAGAACCCGCTGTCCGGCGGACCGTCAGCGGGCGACGTCAATCACGGCCCGGCGGACCAATACAAGGTCGACCAGGCCCTCAAAATCCGCGACATCAATGCCCTCATCGATATCGTACAGGGGGAGCGGGCTGTCAAGCGCCTGCCCAAGTTCAACTGGGACGCCGGCAAGATTCAGGGACGGCGCAAAGCTATCTGGCTGAGGACCATGGTGAGCTTGAATCATTCATTTCATCGCCGGGAACTCATTAGCCATTGCAGGAGCCTCCATGCACGCGGTGCTCCGGCATTCACTGCTGGATCTCCAGCGATCCCAACGCCAAGCGTCCTGCTACGAAGTGTGACGAGTGCGCCGACTGGGCAAAAAGTGCTTAACCAGCGAGGCCCGCAATCCGTCCCCGGTTGACGCGGTCGGGGCGGGTCGATCCAGCACACCAACCCCGCCCAACGCAAACACCCAACGCCGACCCCGATCGCCGTCTGCTCTGTCCGATGCGAGTGGCCCTCCGGAATCCACCGCGGAGGCGCCCGCGGAGCAGGGCAATGCTTCAACCACCGCCACCACCACTCGAGGAAGCGGGGACGAATCATGCGCTGCCGGGCAGTGCGCATTGTATGCGGACGAACCGCGCACCTTCGTCCGTGCATACGTTGGGGCACCCCCACCAAGTCAGTGATTCATCCATTCCGCTGTGATGATTATTTACATGTAATGAACTTACAGGATTGGCCGTCAACGGCCGGACAGAAGTCCCGAGGGGATTGAGCTCCTGGAAACAACGGCGGACGTGTCCTACGAAGTCCGAGACCTGCGACAGGAGAATGCTAAGATCCGCACCATGTGTGATGAACTCCGGCAGGACTTCGCAACCCTCCGTGAACACGTGAAAGCACGCAGTAAGTCGGACATGATGTCCCGGGGCCATACAGCACTGAAATCAAATTTGCAGACAATATCCGTGCTGCCAAGCACGGTGAACACCGGTCCGGAGCAGCAGCAGCGTCCGGGACAGGTTTGACAATGGCGCGCAGACTGACGTCCCTGCCACATCTGATCATTGCGCCGAGGAAGGAAGGTCTCCCGGAAACCTACTTGCGAAGCAAGGCCGTCCGCGAGGTTCCGATAACTCAGTTATCGCGCCCGCTACACTCCGGGCTGCTTCCGCGGTGTGCGCACAGGATGCCTGCGACATGGCCATTAGGGATGATGGTAGCGATATGGAGATCTCAAGCGATGATCCCGATGAAGTGTGACCCCCGCATTACCAGAACAAGATAGTACTATATACATGTAACGTACAATGACGATTTTGTTCAAATGTAACCTCTGATGGGTTCCAACTTGGATTTGTTCCGCTTTTGGTGAATTCTTAACATTCAGTGCACCCAGAATGGAGGGCGGCCTCCCTGGTTCCCGCCTCCGGACGCCCGCCTCCGGACGCCCGCCTCCGGACGCCCGCCTCCGGACGCCCGCCGGGATAGATGACGAGCCAGGTGGTGGCAGGTGCAGCCGTTGCAAACGCGACAGGCGTACTGCAATAGTTGATGGTATCTCCGTGTCGCCGCCTGCATCGTTATCGGCCCGTAGTCAGCATTGTGGAGGTGGACATACATTAAGGACTGTGGCATGGGACATTGTACAACATGTATTAAACAAACCAACAGATTCCGAGAGGGTGTCCGACATGTTACATTCATTACCCTTCGTGCATGTCTTCCAACCCACGGTACTCGGTAAATCCGCGGGCAAAATAGTCTGAATCCTCCATCACCGGGTGCAGGGCATCCCGCGCATACCAGTCACGCTGCTCCCGCTCACTGCCCTCCAATACTGATTCCCAGAACCCGATTTCGGCCGAAATATACTCGTCCATGATCGCGTATTGCGCCACCAGGGCTTCGATGATGTCGTCCAAATACTGTAGCTTTTCCCCCGGATTCAACACCTTCGTGTATTCGCCGTTTTCGAGTTGTTTGTACTGCCCGGGTGGACTGTCCGGAATCGGCATGACCATCGGCGGCAGTAGTCGCAGGTTCAGCTGATTGATGTAGTGTGCGATTCCCTACAGGTCACCATGTGAGTTCGCGCGCCAGCGAGAGAACCGTGGTTACGTACGTCCTCTTCCTCTCCGATGTGCCTCCGTTCAAGTAACATATGCATGTTCTCCTCCCTCGTGATCTCCGCGTCGAGCAACTCGTTGACGGCCTCGACTCGGGTGGTCTCAGCGTCGAACGCGTCCCTCATTTCTGTGCGAAATGCAGAGAGGGAGACGTTGTCTGGCGGGATGAGCACGTTCCCTTGTCACCCAGTTAGGGTGGGTCCGAGATATGCAAGAGCCAGCGGCACTTACCGCCATCCCCTCCATGCTGCCGGGTCATCTGGGGCAAACCCGGCGCTCCTTGAATTCCGTCGTGCTCCATCGGTACGTCTTTAAGTACGACGGTGTCCCTCAAGCGCTCCAGTGCAGCAGCCCCGGATCCTTCTGGGCCATCGAGGACCTCCCAAAACCGGCTCATGGCGTCCGTAAGTCCTAACGCCATCAAGGTGTCTTCATTGGACAGGCGCTGGAACCCTGTCATGAGCGCTGCCATACACTGCCGAAACACAATGTCAGTACCTTACATCAAATGAAAACAAAGCTTAATACAGTACCATTGATTTGAGGAGCACGCGATCCTCGGCGGCAGTGCTCCCGGGGGCCCCGCTTGACTGCGCCGCTGCTTGCGCTGCAGCGACCGCATTGTCATGAAACACGACTTCAATTTCTTGCGCGGTTGGGAAGGTCATCGTATCGAGAGTAGGAAAGGCGGATGAGACGAGTTGTGTGGGAGATCAAAGTAGAGAGCAAGGAGCACTACTGATCCACGAAATCTGATTAGCACTCTCCGGTTCGGGTATTCTTTCCCACGCAGCCACTGGTGCGATGCCACAGGCGTCAAAATGACGCCCGTTTATCGATGTCGGCAATGTGTGATGCCCGCCAGCCGTGCTAATCAAACTGCATGGGGATGGGATGCAATGTAGCATCCACGACCTTTGGCGACTTCTCATGGCTGTGGCTTACCATGCGAGCGTGCCCCGACACCCGCCGCCGGACTCCCGCCACCGGACTCCCGCCGCCGGACGCCCGCCGCCGGACGCCCGCCGCCGGACGCCCGCTGTCGGACACCGGACGCCGGACAGAAGGCAACCGTGGTGGAATTTCTGCATACCCTCATGACCTGGGATCGGTTGCACTCTGAAGCGGTTCTGCGTACACATCCATTCGTTAACGTGAGATGATACATTGACTGTCTACGCTGGGAGGATGACTTCCGGCGGCGCGTTCTGGAGGTTATCGAGCTTCTCCCGGTACGCACGGGCGTAGGCAATGGAGTCGAGACGGCACTTGTCCGCCCGCTCATCGATATACTTTCGGAATTCGAGCCCGTAGATGCTCGTCCAGTATCCGCGACCGGAGTGAAAGCCGCCAATGTACTCCCATGCGCATTGGGCGTTGCGGCGGCTAGGGCGCAACCACGCTGCGTAAGTCCCGATGATCGCTAGCCCCCACGGCAGCTCATGCTTCCTGAGGTCCACATGAGCGACGACTCGCGCCATGTACGATTGCAGCTGTTTCAATATAGCGATCCGGTCGTCGATTGTCGGAATCACCTCGTCGGGACGCAGCGACCCGACTTCAACAACGAGGCGTGGCACCTCCCGCTCCAGCTCCTGACCCCCTGGCTCTTTGAGGCCGTAGTACGAACTGATGAGGAAGTCAGGGTACTTCGTGCCGGACTTCGTGCGCGAGTACACAATCCCTCCTGTCAATAATCAGTTGCGGTTGCGTCCGGAAGCCCTGCAGAAATCGTACATACCGTCCCAGTCGACACTAGTCGGGGGCCGCCCAGCCAGCGCTTGACCGGCGGCCGCTCGCTCGTCATTTCCACGCCCGCCCGGCACCGCGTCAAGGATATGCTGTCCGGGGACAGACGGGCGGAGCGGCTCTTGTGGCTTGATCAAGGTACGGGGGAATCGCAAGGTAAAGTACCTTGTCCACGCGCCATACTGGGAAAATTGCGTGGAGGCCGGCTTCAAATGCCAGTGGTGGACCATTTCGCGGAGTTGGTCGTCCACATCGGGGTGACCGTCGAAAGAAAACTGGACATAGTAAGTGTCCTTCGTGTGCACGATCGAAGCGGCCCGGCGTACCATGTTTCCAATGTTAGCCTGTCCGACCACAGCGGTGAGACTTGCGCTGCTGAGATCCGTGGCGGCGCTGTGCGCCCTTTTATACACCAAGCACATCACATGTCGGAATGCCTCGCTTGCTAATGTGCCGCTGTTGAGTGCGGTCACAAGGGCCACATCGGAGGCATGCCTGCTGCCCAATCAAGGGGCGTGCATTGTGTCGTGGAACACAACCCGACGTCGCATGCTTATCCACTGTCCACAGAAGCCCGGATATGTCTTCCGTAGAAGAGTACTGGGTGATACACAGCTGATGCCCCGTCCGGACTGCATTGAGATAGCAATTTGCGCTGCACCCCACATGTGCAGCGCACTCATGGGACCCGCAATACATGCCGCGATAGTAGCAGCTACAATCAAGGCAATGACACCGGCCTTCCCGGGGTGCTTTCCAGCCACGGAGTTAGTGCGGACGACAATATACAGAACGTGTGTAAATATATTTGGGTATGTTCCGTCCGCGACATGGGACCACTTTGTTCTCACACCCTAAGTTTGTTTGACATCCGGCAGGAAACACTCACCGGCACATGTACCATGATAGCGGCACACGGGAGAAGTCCATATCGTGGGTATTATTCACGTGACTGACTTAGTAACACAACCATCATGACATAGCACTGGAGTCTATAGGATCTACAATCCACGCCCCCACAAGCTGCAGCCACAAAGTACAAGGTGAGTGTAAGTGCCTGTGACATGTACTACAGTTGTCTGATGCACCTCCACAGCATGGTTGGCGTCATCTCTGGCTACATACTGCCGGCGGAGAGCCTGCACTGGTTCTGCCAGTGCCGGGTCGGTCCCTTTGTGCCCGAGGAAATTCCGGAGGTCGAGGGGCCTCGCGAATTCAATGCATTCGTGAACGACATACTGTGCATGATCGACTGGATTCGGGGTCTGGAGAGGAGCAAGCTCGTGCCTCCTGTGAGCTGTGAGTACCATCCCCAAGCACACGGACTCCATTACTGAGCCCCCCTCAAAACAGGGCTTCTCCCGGACCGGGGCGAAACTGCCGTCATCGTCACGGGATACGAGGATCAGACGAAGGGGGTCTCCCGGATCCCGGAAGACGACAGGCAGGTTCGCGCGCGCGACCGGTTTGTGAAACACGCGAATCTGGCGGCCGGGGAAAACGTCTTTGTGAGCGACAACTTGCAATATTTTTGCACCGCGGAAGAGAACCTGGAGCTTCCCCTCGCACTGTGAGTGAGCGATGTGACCGCTTGGTCCGCGAGCTGATCAAGAATGCACAGGTGCTTCGATCCGCCGCCGCAGAAAGGCAAGGAGAAGGCCGCTGAACCGGTACAGTCCCGGTACAATTTTCGTCCTCGCAACCCGTCCCGGGAGCCAACTCCCCTGTCTTGATCTGTAGTTAGCCGTCCGAACTTGTGCCTAGTTTACGCGGTGTACGATATCATATGTAGGGGTTGAAATCGCATGATTGTCTCTCGATTAGTACTGCTCTGATTCCGCCAGCGGGACCACATGCAGCAGGCGGATGTGTGTTGTCACTTTCAGCTAATGCCCGGCCGGTGGCACTCATCCGGCGGCGGGCGTCCGGTGGCGGGCGTCCGGTGGCGGGCGTCCGGTGGCGGGCGTCCGGTCCCACATAATCTGTATTGTACGCACAGTACAAAGACAAGGCAATACATTCGTTATTCTCATTCTTCGCCGACGGAAACAAGCCATTCAATGCAATAACACTCCCACCATCATTTCTACCGAACCCTCCCACTAGTGCCGGGGCTTCTTGGCGGCACGTTGCCCCTTCGTCGGAGACACGGGCTCGCCCTTGCGGCCGCGCTTCCGGATCCTCGTGCCAATGGCAGATGCATCCGACCCGGTACCTGGAGGATTCATGAGCCGCTTCGACCGCTTTGGAACTTCCTCCCACTCTTTCGCCAGTGACTTGCAAGCATACAGGAGGCGATCCTTGACGAACGCGTGATCATGCAGAGTGTTAAGTACGTGATCCGGTAAGTTATACTTATCACGGTTGCTCGACAATGACTTTTCTAAGTCATGCAGCAGCATTCCGATTGTTAGAGCGAGGGTTTGCGCTTCAACCATGCTGATTGTCGTTCCCTTCATGCTCGTCGTTATCTTGCTCAGCCATGATTTGAAAGATCGAATTTCGGCAGCGTTGTTGTGGGCAGCGGGCGGGCAATGACTCTTCCGGTAAGACCACATGCCCCATTCCCAAGTCTTTGATGTACGCCATGACCCGGCTTGTGACTAACAGGACGCTCCCAGTCAGCAGGTACTATCCATCCACATGACGAGCGGCCTTACCAAAGCGGGAATTCCATCCAGCAACACACAATAGTGTTTGTTTCTGGACAGTTCTCGGAGGAACTGCATGCGATCAGAAACATCATCCCTCATTTTTGCAGGTGCTCCGTCTTCTACAGCCTCTTCGTCCGAGACCCCATCCGAGCCCGTTGATGATGCTGGCGGTGTGGGTTCCCTGGCAGTTTGACCGGCAACATCCACCGGGGCCACCAAAGACATTGCGGGAGCACCAGCCGTACCTGAAGGCCCCACCGAGGCCGTCCGTGCAGTACGGGACGACCAATTCCGGGGCAAGTCCTTCCCTGAGCGGCCTACGTTTCCTGGGCGCGATCGTAACGCTGAACCACTCTCCCGCTCCAGGGATACCATAGTAGGTTGCAACGCCTGGGATGGACCGGCAGTGTTCCCATCCCGCCGACGGGGCCGGGGCACGACCCGTGGGGGTGGACATGGCGATTCTGACAACCGCTCCGGGTTACCCTGCACGGCTGTACTGCTCATGCGCTCAATTACAAGCCCCGAAGTCAACCTCAACAGAGGATTTCGCGCCTTTGCATTGGAACGTGCGGCCGGACGTTGAGATGGCATTGGACTAAAAAGGTCGGAGGCAGGAGGCACCTCGGCTCGTCCCTTGCCTTTACGATCCACCACGAGCATCGGAGGTTCGGGCGTCGACGACGAGGACCGAAACGGCAGCCCCGCGTCTGAACCGGGGAGGATGTCCGAATGCGGACTTTGCTTTACCAGCGCGGTGTTGACCTCCCGGCTGTGTTGAACATCGTTTATGGAAGACGGTGGGTGTTCCGGCGAAGGCAGGGCGAAAGGGTTACCTTTGTCGTGACGAGGAGGCGGCGGGGTAGCGGGATCGCTGCCGGTGGAGGAACTGGAAGATGAGGACGATGAAGAAGACGACGAGTTCTCGTCCGCTAGATCGTGTTGGACAGCGGAGTCTACGTCACTGCCCTCTGCATTTGACTGCAGTTCAGGTTCGTGCCTGTTGTCGCGCTCGTCGTCTCCATCGGATGCGTCACTGTCTTTTTCCGGAGTGACGCTCGCAAGCTTCGAGCCACTTGGACGGGAGCGGCGACCCTTCGGATGGGGGGACGATTGACGCCGCGGGCGGGCACTCCGGGCAGCGCGGCGGGAAGCAGTCCTCGGCTCCTCATGCTCCAGAGACACGATTTCGCTTTGATGGTTTCGGTAGGCAATGAAACGCATCACAAAGGCAAGCCGTGAGGAATTAGCCCTTGTCCGCCAGTGTGCGATAAGAGAGTCAACCTCCGCCTGTTTCAGATGCGACGGTTCTTGGAGGGTGACACCGTCAGGAAGCGACCCGGCCTCGAGAAGCTTCTCCGGAGTCGCCTGGAGAGCGACCCAGGGGACTTTCAACTTCGGCATTTTTGTATACGCCACTGTTGCGTCGCCGTCAGTACCCAGTGATATTACGCGGATCAGATGCATACCGTAATGGAGCCGGACAAATTCTGAAATGAACGCCTTCTTGTTCCGTAGATTCTTGAAGCACTCGTCGCTGTGGTGCGGCATACCGGGGGTGTCGTCATCGTACATCTCCCAGTCAATCTTCGGCACACCCCGCTTATTCGCCCTGACATCCGCATCACTGTCCTCGGATACATCGTCGCCCGCTGAAAGCGTGAAATCGTCGATGAGCCAACCGGACAAGCCAGGAAGTGGTGGAGGTCATTCACTTACCGAACAGTTTGTGCCCGTAGTCCTTGAACAGATCTCGGAACCCGTCTGCACGTTTGTAGTCGGGGTACATGTCCTTGAATTTGACGCGACCGGCCGCGCGCTCGGCGTTGGGGTCGACAAGGTCATTGCAATCAAAGCTGGTCAGAGCGCCATAATGAGCTCCTAGGGACCCAATTGCAAGGAAGGTATGATACGCACTCGATCACACTGGGTTTGCCTTCCAGGGATTTATAGACGCCGTGCACGAACACGCGCATCCCGAAGTGCCTCCAAACGTATTTAGAAAAATCCAACATGACCGCCTCGCTCTTCCGGACGATGTTCCGGTCCTGCAATTCATGAGGTTGCCCTTCCGAATTCCACCGGACAGCCTCCTGCTTGTATTCCCGCTGTTTCGCCCGGGGGAGACTGTTGGCCAGATTTCGCAGCTCCTTTTGATACGTAGCGAGAAAGTCCTTGTCTCCGTGAGCGACCCCGGTCGCAGCTATCTTCTCGTCCAGTTCCCCGGGCATGTGCCAAGCCACCACACGGTGCCAGTTCAGGCGTCGGCCGAATGCGGAGGGACGATCTTTCTTTTTCTTATTCTTCACAGGTGCGGCATTGTAAAACCACGCCCGGACAGCCTGATTATACATTATGCAATGTATCTGCGCAGCATGACAGTCAACGTACCTTTTTTCCTTCCTTCTTCATAGCCCTTCCCCGGTGGGCCTCCAACTTCTCGACAGCACGCGACCGGACATCTTTACGGTCATTCGAGTCACCCGCCTTCCACTCCGAGAGGAAGCTGCGCAGGATGAGGAGTTCTCCAGGTGTATAAGACGTAGCTGGCATGTTGGGTGTACAGAGCTAAGGTGACAGCTCATACGGTGCCAGCTGTACGCTGCGTCTCCCATGCGTTTGCCTCATGGAACTAGGCGCCCGGTAGCTTCTCGTCGGCTACGATGTTGCAATATCTGTGAATGGTGGCCCATGTCGAGTGTCGGATATTAGACAAACTGCCCAAACACAGCGAATTTGCATGCAGCTTTCCACAGACACCAATCACAGCATATCTCGCCCGCCCGGGGGCCATGTCCGAGCAAATCGGAGGCAGCTAGCCGAGGGTGCGGTATCCTCAAGGTGAACACGTTTCCGCCACAGTCATTCCCCAAGTCTGTCGAGCGACCTTGTCCACTACCCACCTGCTGCACGATGGCGAAGCCCAGGGTAAAGCGACGATGCAGCTCACCCAAAGTTCAAGAAGTCGAGATACAACGCAAACAGACCTCAAGAGGGCTCAGGACACGACTCGTAGTCTTACCGGACGAAGGCCCATCCACCCCAAAGTCTTCATCGACACCGTCAGCACCGACCGCACGTCAATCGAAGGGCTCTGAACCGTCGGCACCGACAGCACGTCGTTCGAAGGGCCTGTGGACACCGCAGTCAACCGTCGACCCGCCCGATCGCCCTGTCGAGCCTTCCACTCCACCGCCTCTTCCGTCGGGCCCCCAGCAACCACAGCGCCGTGCCCGGGCCCCAAAGGTGCGATGAATGCACATCCGCATATCGGGAAGGCGGCTAATATTTGAGTAGACCCAACCGGACATGATGACGGCTTGGCTTCCATACCGGAATGAGTACCTGCGGCACATGTACACAGCTCATGCTCCACCAACACCCGACGATACCGGCACAGCTACATGCGAAAAGTGCTCGGCTGGCTCCGGAGAATGGAAGTGTGTCTCTTGCTTCGGCCGGCCGGTGTTCTGCGAATCCTGCTGCCTGCGGGAGCACGCCCGCCTGCCATTCCACCGTTTGGAACGTTGGACGGACACGTTCTGGGCCCCTTCCTGGCTTCGCTCCCTAGGCCTTCCGATCCACCTCGGACACGAAGGCTCTCCCTGTCCGTGTGTTGACCAACCCGACAATGAGAGTGACTGGTCGGACGACGACTCCTCCAGTGAGTCCGAGAGCGGTGAAGAGGATGAGGAAACCCTCGGGGATCCGCTTCGTGATGCCGCTGGGGGTGAGCGGGCTCCGGAAATGCATATGACCATTGTCGATACGTCCGCCGTCCATTTCCTCCGTGTCGAATGCTGCCGTTGCCCTCGGGCGGAGTCAGTTCGTGGTCAGCTCCTCCAGGCCGGGCTGTATCCAGCAAGCCAGCTGAATGTCAAAACGTGCTTTACCTTCGACGTACTGGACGACTTTCTGCTTGACAATCTGGAATGCAAGACATCCGCAATGAATTATTATCGCCGACTTCGCCGGAAGACCAATCCGGCATTCCCTCATCGTGTGCCGGTAAGTCCAGCCACCCGTGCGGACGCTTCGCCTTGCTCATCACCACACTGCAGGATCGCTATGCGGAATTCATGCGTGCCACCAGACAGTGGACGCTGCTCCGGGCTATGATGCAGTTCGGATTTGGTCCGAAATGGCGGGGGGAACCGGGAACGGGCGACCTTGCACTATTTTGTGCTGCCTGCCCACAGCCGGAGTGAACATTCCAGACGACTGGGACAGTGACCCGAATGCGTGAGTGACCGGGCCTAAGCCGCGAGCAGCAATTGAACGTACAGACAGGTACATTTACGCCGAGGCTATGTCATGGACGGTAACTTCTCCGCCGAGCATATGAAGATGCGTAAGCCGGGAACGATGTTCCGCTTATGCCCGGGAAGGCGTTCATGGTGACGGATGAAGAATTGCACCTCATTTGAAGTCATCCACTGATATAAAAATGGTGCGTGGGTGAAAGTTGTGTTGAGGGTTGTGCTGATTCAGTACAAGAAACCGACATGCAATGACCACCAAGCAATCGCTCGGGCCAATGCTCACCGTCACAAATTACAGTCTACGGGAATTGGGGCCACGGCTTGCTCACGCCACGGATGCTTCTTTCCACATGCGGTTGTCAACTTCCAGGCCGGTGAGCGGCAGAAAAACATGGATTAACGCTGTCGGAAGCTATGAGCTACCGGTCGGACGGCATCAAGAACGCCATTGTGCTTACGACGTGATGTGTCAGTATGGGTGCACCTCCCAAAACGCTTCAAGGACGGTCCGCGGCTCCGGATGCCCGGGGCCTTACCTTTACCTGGCATCGGCTTGTTCCATGTACATGGCCACCAGTCGAAGTGCCTGCTCGAGTACGCCCCGACGTTCATGCGCGGCGCCGGACAAGTGGATGGGGAGATCGTCGAAACGATGTGGTCTCCATTGGGCAAGGTGTTCGGAAGTACTCGGACGATGGCGACGTCGCATCGGCAAGAAACTCTCGACCGTCATATGAACGACTGGAATTGGCGCAAAATGGTGTCATTAGGTGCGGGAAGCAGATCAACTGTCCGGTGTGGCAGGTTCTCACCCCCTTCCAGTCCCAGCATTGAAGAAACGCATTGCCGCAAACCGGGTACTCCTTGAGAGCTTCCGAGAGGCGCTGGAGGATCAGGAAGCCGGGATCGAAGCCAACATCCTGGCTCAATGGATGTCAGCGGTCGCAGAAGCCCACAAAAAACGTGTGAAGGATGTGACAGTGATGGACGCATTTGAGGTTCAGGGCCAGCATGGTGAGTGGCGGGTGGCGGATATTACACCACTGATCGCTGACATGTAGAGTAGCTCCGTCAAGGGCGGAAATACAAATCGGTCTGACCGAAAAGGAAGGGGATAACAACATCATCGTCGGAGCAGCGGAGTGGATGGTTGAGGGAATGAGGATTGAGGATGCACAGTGCGTAATTACAATCCGGCCGTCCGACATTCAATGCTCACAATCCGACAGAATTGCGCTGCAGCGGGTAGTAAGGGCCTATGGGACCAAGACAACGGCAGAGCAGCGTTTGAACATCGCGAAACAGAGAAAACGGCTCGAACTCCGGATCGAGCGCTTCCTAAGGAAGGGGGAGGAGATTGTGGGTACGAACGAATGGGACGACGGTCGGCAGCATACCGAGGTTATCGACGACAATGGTGACCTATCCGACTGGGAAGACATGCAGAACAACGGCCAAGCAGCCGCCGGGCCCAACGTAACAGGCAATGTCCCGGCTTCTACTCCGAAATCAAGAAAGCGAGATGGGAGGGCAGCGGAGTGGCGGCTGTTGTCACTTCCATCGTCCTACTCTGTCGACACGATCAAGACTGCGGACGTGCAGCCATATGCAAAAGCGGAACTGGAGCTACGAATCGGGCAAGCGAACGACATCTTGCACCAATTGCGGATATTGCTCAGCCAAAAGTCATTTGTAATGCGTGCGAAGGTGCGCGATGCCAAGTCTCAGTCGCGGAAGACACGGGCGTGGGCGGATGTGCATGCTGTTCAGAAAGGAGTGGAACACCAGGCCCGTATGTACAGGAAGGTGCGGCATGCGATGACAGTGCTCGGAGCAACAACGTCAACACTTCGAAAGTACCAGAAATTGGTGCCTGACGACTTGAAGGTCAGCACAGCAATCGTAGAACCGAACCAGAGGGGGCAGCGACATACCCGGCTACCCTGGATATGGACGACGGATGTTCAAGGCGATATGAACGCAAATGAGACAATGACGGAATGTAAGCAGGTCACCGGTCGCGGTACATCTACAGAATCATGATTTTTTACAGTACACCGTGTGCATTGGTTCCGAGCACGGTCACAGTTCGAGCGAGCCGAAGAAGAGGACAATATCCTCCGCCGGGAGCTGGATTCTGTCCGGAGATATTTTGAGTACGAGACGAAACGGTGGGCAGATCATGCCGCCAACCGGAAGAGCGGAAAGTATGAGCCTAATGAGTGGGAAATCACGTTTCAAACGGTCCACCCGGAGTGCATTTGGCCCATTTCGAACGGTGGACCCGGGCTCGGCCGGAGCACTCCGGGTCTACCGTTTGGAGCGGCCGCCGCCAGCAACGAACCGGCCGGAGGAAGGGTGGTGGTTTGGAATGGTCCGGCCGGAGTGTTGGGTAACGTTCCGGCCGGAGCTCTGGTGAACGTACCGGCCGGAGGCCTCGAGAAATATGGGTTTCCTACGGTGCGGCCGGACTGTTATCCAACGTTCCGGCCGGACCCCTGGTCAACGGTCCGGCCGGAGGCCTCGAAAAATTTACGTTTCCTACGGTCCGGCCGGACATATACCCAATGTTCCGGCCAGACCTTTGATGAGTGTCCCGGCCGGAGGCCTCAAAAATTTGGGCTCTCAACGGTCCGGCCGGGCTCATCACTAACGGTCCGGCCGGAGCACTTAGCAATGATTCAGCCTGGCCAGGGGTTGGTTTCGGACGTCTGGCCGGCCCCCAGGTGAAACGGTCCGGCCGGGCAAAATCCCAACTTCCAATGTGAACAGGCCGGCCGGAAGCCTTGCAAAATCTGGGCTGTAAATGGTCCGGCCGGGCTAGTTTCTAACCATCCAGCCAGACCCCAGATGAACCGACCGGCCAGGCTTCTCCCAGCCAGACCCCTGATACACTAGTAATATAACAACAAGAATTGTTAGTTGTAACAACCAAGCTCAATATTTAACCACCAAGCCCAGAGATGAGCCACCAAGCTCAGTATCAAACCACCGAGCTCAATAGTGAGCCACTGAGCACAGTATTGAACCACCGAGGTTAAACAGCTAGGCTCGGTGGCCGAGAAAAATTGGCCGGGCTCGGCGCCGAGGATAAATGGCCGAGGCTCGGGCCGAGGTTTCGAGCGCCGAGCTCGGTGAAAACCGCCGAGGTCAGTATCAAAGCATTGAGCTCAGTGTTAAGGGCCCAGTTAAAGGGCCGAGCTGAGTGTTCAATGACCGAGTTTGTTGTTGAAGCACTGAGCTCGGAAATGGCCGAGGTTAAACCACCGAGCTCGGTGAAAAACGGCCGGGCCGTCAGATTGCCATATAAGGAAATTTGGTATCATCTGGTAGCCCTTCATTCACAGAGTACAGTATATGTTCCCTAGTGTACAGAGATGCCTAGTTAGGTCAGAGAATACAAAATAAAAATGCTCACAGGCTTCTCTGAGAACATACTATTCAACTCCTGAGGCCAGTTTTCTTTACCCACAATGTTTGACCATCTAGAATGTGCTATTTCAATGCACAGACTACATCCCCAACAGGAATAGTCTTATTCTTTGAAGCTAAATGCAGGACAAGAGATAAGGGGCATATAGGTATGGGATATGCATGTCTGACTTGAATGTTGGTTCCTGCAGCCAATATTCTTTCCAAATAGGGTTTCACCATCTAGAGTGGTTCATTTACTCACATGGAGTAAGTGCTCCAAAGGAACAGTCTTATTCACACAAGCTGAATGCAGTACAGAGTTAAGGTGTCAAGGGTGGAGTGGGATACATGTGAACTATGTTTACTTTGTAAAGCCAATATGCTTTGCCCACAATGTTTGACAAACTAGAATGGCTTAATCCAACATGAACAGCAAAGTCCTCAAGAGGAATAGTCTTATTCTTCCTAGCTGAACTGAGCATGGAGCTAAGGGGAACATGCATTATTGTGTCATGATGGGGCCTGCTTTGAATGATTGTCGTATC